ACAAATTTCTCTCTCTAGTCTAACACTCCAAAAATGATCCTTCTTTCCATAATGGGAGTCACTCACTTCCTATTTATAGGAAAGACTCAACCCATTTACACATACAAGAGGGTAAGCCTAAAACAATGCATCCAAGAGTGACTTTGCACCCTAACAGATAAAGATGCTCTGATCTGATCGAGGTGGTGAGTATCTTAGTATCGAGTTCCATGACTATCTTAAGGAATGTGGAATTGTTTCACAATTAACGCCACCTAGGAAATCGCAGTTGAACGGTGTAGCTGAGAGGCGCAATCGAACCTTATTGGACATGGTTCGTTCCATGATGGGTCGAGCTTCATTACCTATCTCATTTTGGGGGTATGCCTTAGAGACTGCCGTCCATATCCTTAATCTAGTCCCAACTAAGAAGGTTGCCAAAACACCTCACAAGATGTGGACAGGGAAGGTTCCCTTGTTAGCGCATATCAAGGTTTGGGATTGTGAGGCTTTCGTAAGACGAGAGACTCACGACAAGCTCGAATCTCGTAGTGAGCGTTGTATTTTCATTGGCTACCCACAGAAATCCTTTGGATATTTGTTCTATAGACCTAGTGAGAACGTGGTCTTCATAGCGCGAAGGGGGGTCATTCTTGAAAGAGAGCTCATATGCCAAGAGGATAGTGGGAGACAAATTGACCTTGAAGAGCTTCAAGAGTTAAGCGATGAAGGAACCTCTAACACTAGCAATCAACTTGAGGATGAGACTCCTGTTGAACCAGTTGACGAGTCATTACCTCTTCGACGTTCCTCTCGAGTTAGAATGGCACCGGAGTTTTATGGTTTTCATACTACTACGGAAGGTGATACGTTTATCAGTGATAGTACACTAGTAAATTTGGATTAGCCATCTAACTACAAGGAAGCCATGGCGGGCCCTGAGTTTGCTAAGTGGAAAGAGGCAATGGACAGCGAGATTCAGTCAATGTATGACAATCAAGTTTGGAACTTGGTTGACAATGTACCAGGTCGTAAGATGGTCGGGTGCAAGTGGATCTTCAAGAAGAAGACCGACATGGATGGGAAAGTACACACGTATAAGGCGCGATTGGTTGCGAAGGGCTTTACTCAAACTCCTGGAGGTGACTATGACGAGACCTTCTCACCAGTAGTGAAGATCAAATCTATAAGGGTTATGCTAGCCATAGCTGCGTTTTATGATTATGAAATATGGCATATGGATGTCAAAACCGCTTTCCTTAATGGGAAGTTGCTGAGAATGTTTACATGAGTCAGCCAGAGGGTTTTGCAGATACGAAGTACCCTAATAGAGTGTGTAAGCTTGAGAAATCCATTTATGGATTAAAGCAAGCATCTCGCAGATGGAATCTTTGTTTTGATGAGAGAGTCAAAGAGTTTGGTTTTTCGAGAAGCGAGGATGAGTCCTACGTATATTTCAAAGTTAGTGGGAGTATAGTTAGCTTTCTGGTGTTATATATGGATGACATACTTCTCATAGGAAACGACGTTCCAACCTTGCAGGAGGTTAAGTCTTGGCTTGAGAAGTGTTTCGCTATGAAGGACCTCGGGGAAGCTGCTTACATTCTAGGGATAAGGATGTTGAGAAATAGGAGTAAAAGACTAATAGGCCTTAGTCAAAGTACCTACTTGGACAAGGTGTTGAAACATTTCAACATGGAGAATTCCAAGAAAGGAGAATTGCCTATCCAGAGCAATACCAAACTGAGTAAGACTCAGAGTCCGAGTACCGATGCCGAAATAGCAGAAATTAGTCGAGTACCATTGCTTCTGCCGTTGGCTCGATCATGTATGCTATGACATGTACTCGCCCTGATGTGGCTTTTGCTTTGAGCATGGTTAGTCGATATCAAGGGAATCCTGGTAGAGTACACTGGATTGCAGTAAAGAACATTCTTAAGTACCTGAAGAGGACTAAGGATTGGGTCCTTACCGTCGGTGGGAGTGATGACTTAAGAATGACAGGGTATAGTGATGCCACCTTTCATACCTACAGAGATAATTTTCGCTCTCATTCGGGCTGGGTATTTACCCTAAATGGAGGAGCAGTAACATGAAAAAGTTCCAAACAGGAGGCGATATGGCTAAAGAACTTCATCGGAGACCTTGGAGTTGTACCAACTGTAAAGGAGCCTATGGAGATTTTTTGTGACAATGGGGGTGCGGTCGCCTTAACCAAGGAACTGAGGGATCATGGCAGATCTAGGCACATCGACAGAAAATATCACTTCATAATACATCGAGTAGAAGAGGTACTCCTTGTAGTGAAGAGGGTATCGTCAGAGGATAACCCAACAGATCCCCTTACGAAGGGACTGAGCAGGGTTAAGCATTTGCTGCATGCTAAGAGCATTGGCCTAAGGGACGATATTAGTTTTACTGATTAGATAAGCAGTTAGAGACTTGTAATAAATAAATGTAATTGACATTTGATGATTAAATAATAAAGGTTTTATTTATAAGTAAAGCTTACTGTCTATTGTCAATTGTTTATTTTATGTTTCAGTTTTGCATGTTTTGACTTCCAGAATAATAAGATTATTCAAATAATCCACAGTCGATAATACTTTGGAAGTAGGTATTGAGGTAAGACTGTCATGAATTGGCTTGTAGATTGTCTAAAATGTTTAGACATAGCAAAAGTTTGCTACAACATTCATGAGTGCTCCTGAAATAAGATTTGAGTATTGGATTAAACCCACACTCACATGAATCACTTCATGGAATTTATCACGAGTGATTGTGAGACGATAATATCATATAGTCTTCAAACCAAGATATATGAGTTGTTGATTACGAGTTGGTTATGCATTGATAGTACGAAAACGCATCAATAACTTGATGTTATAAAACGTGTTGTTGTGTATAATTTAAGTACAAGCATATAAGTCGAAGTTTATCTGTTCCTTTTATCCTAAGAGGATTAAAAGCGATATCATGGGCCCCTCGATGATGTTGTTTTGACTTATGTGTCGGGCCCGGTCAGGACTCAATTGATACGTTCAGTTAAGTTCTATGTCAAACAAATCAGAAATCGGGAAACAAACAGTTGGACAATGAGTATGACTTTATTCCATGTCTTTGTCCACACGATATCTTGAAGAACAGAGGATTATATGATCCCCTTATCTAAAGGACGCGTCATTGACTAGGTCAGAGTTCGATAGCGGCTTTTGAGAGCTGTGATTGCTAATCGGATTTTGAAGTTACATTGGCAGTTATAGTTATTATACTTATCCAAATGGGAGACTGTTGGATTAGGTGTCTAAGCCTATAACTATAATTGATATGTACTTAACCCAATAGTAGCATGGTCCTTTTGCGTTGCCTTCCCCGGAGCAATTTGATAGGATGGATATCTGAGAAAGATGTTATTTGTGATTTATTAATATATTATATGAATAATATATTAATTGAGAAATCATATTATTTAATTGGTATTGATCAAGAATTAATTTGGAATTAATTTAGTGATAAAAAAAGACTGATTAAATTTACAGGGACTGATTAGGTAAATCAGTGATATTTATAGTTTGGGCTAATGATTCATGTTGATCAGGGATGGGCTAAATCTATGTGAGAGTCCATGTAGAGTTAGTCCAAAGAGCCTATCATATGGATCATTGGAATACCTAAAGGCTTAAGTAAATTAGGGTTTTATGTATGAAACCCTAAGGATTCCACACTATAAATTGAACCCCTAGCTTCCCCAAATCGGCCACTCTCTTCCATAGTGAAACCCTAGTCGATTTTGTGCTTCCTAACCTCTCTCTCATAAGCCTCCTCTTTGTTTTGGTGTTTGTAACACATTAGAGGTATCACACTTGAGGTACTAAGCTCTTGAAAGGCTAAGAACTACAAGCTACAACAAAGAGGTATTCATATAACTAGTTTTTATGTTGTATATCTCCAATTGCATGCTAGCTAGCGTGTATGCTTTGGATAAAATGAAATTGCATGTATAACTTGAGAAAACTTAGATCCAAAGCATCTAGGGTTGTATGTGCACCATAGGATTGTTATAATGCTCAAAACCCATCAAGAATTACCTCTTTATGGCAAATTAAATTGAGGAATCATAACCAATCTTCAGTTTCAAAAGTATGCCAAAAAGCAAATTTACTATATCTCTTTCAGCAGCTATACAAGTGTTGCCATAATTGAGAAAACAAATTGTACGTTAGTGAAAAATACCCATTAGGGTTTGTATCTATTCCATTCTTTAAATGTGTCTTCTTCGAAAATGACATGGCGTGAAATAATAATGTGCTGAGTGACGAGATCAAGACACTTATGTCCATTGTGATCTAGAGATGGACCAAGATACACACAAGCAGTTGATTAAAGGGAAAGTTTATGAGGAGCGGTGGAAGCCGTGTTTGCGTAGCAAATACAACCAAACACATGAAGATGATCATAAGTAGGAAAAAACCAAATAATAATGCAAAAGGAGTTTTATTGGATAATGTCGTGGTTGGAAGTAAGTTGAGTATGTGAATGGTAGATGTGACAATTGATGACACGACACGATAAAAATACACGACACGAAACGAAATTGGGACGGAACTGAAATTCAATTGCATGTTCGTGTCTTGTTCATGTCAAGTGTAAAAAACATGATGTTGTGTTGTGTCGTGTCATGTTCGTGTTCAAAATTAGACACAAAATTGACACAATTTAACATTTATTTGTCGTGTTTTCGTGTTATGATTATATATTAATTAAATAAACTAATTGTTATTTTATGTTATCTTTGTTGTGTCGTGTCGTGTTTGCCCTTTTTAAAATTGTTCGTTTACGTGTTAATTAAAAAAACACGACATTGTGTCATTTCGTGTTCGTGTTATATAAAACATTGTCGTGTTGTGTCGTGTTAGACAAAAACACTACACAATGACCCGATTTGCCACCCCTAGTGAACGACGATAAGAAACGCTTTAGTCCAATTTTTTTTTTTGGATAAGGAAGCCTGAAACAAAAACATGCGGCCAAAGTATAATCATTAAAATAGAACACTAAAAAAAGTTCAATGATTAGAGTGTAACCTTGACAAATGGTTCGATGTTAAACAACGGCTATCACTAATTAGAATGACTAAATTAAATAAAAATAAAAAATTTATTGACTCATGATATCTTAAGCAAAGTATAATAATTCTCCGACTAAAAACATCTCCAATAATAAACCTATATGATAGGTCAAAAAAAATTATCATCTCACTGGTTAAAATTGTTTTTTCAATGGTTAAACCTTTTTATGATTTTTTTGATTAATTTAAGTATTTTATCATTATCTATCTAAAATATTATATAAAACCTTTCGGTTAACTAATTATTATTATTTAAATAGGTCGTATTTTAATATAAACATTATCTATATTTTTAATTTAACATTTGGGTTTAGCCGGTCCAGTAAATTACTTTAGCGATTGTATTGGGCTACTTCGTTTTTACGGATTACCCACAAACAGATCACAAAGGCCACTATTTTGTGTTCTCTCACGCTCCGACTACAACAGCCGTTTCCTCTCCTCTGAGCTACGTCGTCTTGAACAACTCTCCTCGAAACCACAAAGTAAGATTAACACTTCCAACATTTGTATCTGTTTTCTGATTAAATTCACTGTATGACTCATTTTGCCTAAACATTGATTCCTTTTATCACTTCGAATAATTTAGATTATGAAATTTTTATGAGATCAATTCGTATAGGGTTTCTGTTTCTCGTTTCCAGTTTTATAAGAAAGAGACTGATGAATATCATAGCGTTTGTTGAAAAAAATAGATCTAGATTGTTAGGGTTTGTTTAGAGCTGCCTTGTTCTTATTGAATGCCATTAGAATCTGATTGTGAACCACAATGTAAGAGTCTTAATGCGGTGAAAGCCATGATCTACTATTATTTCTGTACTGGCGAAACAAGTTGGCTATTTCACCAACTGTTTGATGAAATGCCGAAGAGAAGAAGTACATCTAAAATTGGTTTTTTATGTGTTTTAACCATATCAGTCTCCTAAGAGATGGTGTAGCTTGTATAAACTAGTTGCAACAACAAAGCCTCTTATTACATGCTAGTGGCAAGTTAATAAAATAACACTTACCACAAACAGATGAATCTTCTCAACAGTATAATAATATTAATACTGTCAAGATGGTTTTCTACATTTTGGATTCTTTTTAGCAGACTTATTCAGGTTGTTTTTTGGTCCATGTTTGGTCCCTATTAAGACTTGCATTTCATTGCTTGATGACTTTCGGAAGATTTCAAAAGTTGGACCAAACTTGCAATTTTGAGTAAAGCACAAGGACCAAATTTGTAACTTACTTTATTTCCATTTATTTTACAGCCTATGAATTGTATTAATATTGGTTATTGGTTGTATGATAAACAGAGATGGTGATTCCTCCACCAGTGAAGGCTCAAAGAATCACAAACTATCTAAAACCATATCTATTAAAGATGCACTTTTCAAACAAGTATGTAAGTGCACAGGTGATTCATACACCAACTGCCACTGTGGCCTCAGCTGCCAGCTCACAGGAGAAGGCACTCCGGGAAGCTTGGAACAAAGGCCAGCAAAGCACCAGAGACGTGGCGGCTGCCGCCAAGATAGGGAAGCTTTTAGGTGAGAGGTTGCTGCTTAAAGATATTCCGGCGGTTTCAGTGGTGTACAAAAAGCAGCAAAGGTATCATGGTAAGGTTAGGGCTGTTATTGATTCTTTAAGGGAAGCAGGTGTCAAATTGCTATAAGTTTTTGTTTTTCTTGTAATAAAATGGGGAAAAAGAACCATTTTTGAATCGTGTATAATGATTTTGTTTGTTTGTTTTTTTAAAAAAAATAGAGAATTAGGGGTTGGTTGGTTGGTTGGTTGGTGGAGTGTTTTTTTAATGGATGGAATCTGTGTGAGGAATTGGAATTGGAATTGGAACCGAATGACCCGTAATCCTTCATGTGGGTTGTTGTAACATGCAAATAAATTACATGCATGGTGACCTGAGACGACTGGGTTTGTTTAAATAAAGAATAAAAAACGTTTGGTTTGTGCTTGTAGAGTTTTTTTTTTTTTTTTTAATGAAACTTGAATTTGTTTATGGTTTGATTCTTGGGTAGTTTAAATTAACGACGTAAACTTTTAACTTTGTAAAAATGACTATTATGTCTTAAATTTGATATATTGTTATGGCAAACCTATGCGGTTGGTTTGGTGGTGTGTTGGGAACAGACTAGTTCGGTACAACTGTTGAAACTCCTGTGTGTTTGGTCTATGTGGTTTCAATTTTTGTGTATTTGATCATTTTCTCATATAAAATGACTTTCGTTTCCTTTTAATTTAATTTACCCTTTTTTAATTGGTTTTAATTAAAAAAGAAAAAGAAAGAAAGTAAATAAATAAACTGAACTCGCCCTCTCCCCTTCATCTTAATCTGAGCATTGAAACATCCCTTCCATCAGAACCGCCTTTTTTTTGTCATCAGATATGGAAATGTAGTTTTTAGAATCTGAGATGAAGGCTTCGTTTTATGTCTAAAACTGGTAGTATATATATATATATATATATATATATATATATATATATATATATATATATATATATATATATATATATATATATGTGTGTGTTTGTTTTCATTTGTTAGAATCTGAAATCCATTTGTGTGTAAGTTTTCAACCATAAACTTTGTAATTGATTTGTGTGTCGGTGTGTGTTCATTGTTTGTTATCGAATTTTGTGCTAGTTTTTCTTCATCAGAACTCAACAATTAAAACTTAATTTAGGATTTAAGTTTTTTTTTTTGAATGGCTGAATTTTCATATTCACATATTCTAGCGAATTGCTAGAATATTAAAAAAAAAATGTTCCGAAAATTACAAAGGGGAATTAAGCCAAGCATTCTACATTACATCGGAATTGGTAGCTCGGTTTTTAAGCCAATAAAACGAACTTAACACAACACTATCAAATAACGAATTTTTCTTAATGTTACTCCCATCAAACACCGCCGAATCCCTATACCTCCATACCATCCAACAAGTAGCTAGCACAACCACTTCCAATCGTAGACGTTTTGATATCACCAACCTTTGATCATCCACCCACGACATCCACTCAGTGATCGACGTATACATAGGGAAGATTATATCACACCATCTTGCAACCGAGGACCAAACCGTCACAACTACTTCACCGAGAAAAAATAGATGTTCTGTCGATTCCACCCCAACCCCACACAACGGACAGAATATACTACTCAATTCCAACCCTTTTTTGATAAACTGAACCGAGTAGGCAGCCAATCAAGAGCAAGACTCCAACCAAAAATCCTTACTTTTTAGGTACTACTTTACACCACCTAGTGGCTTGAGAATGACCCAAAACTAAAACATCATTTATGTGTCTCTCGGTTTGATTTACTGTGAACTCACCAAAAGCATCCGGCCCCCACCATAACCGATCAGGGGAGTCGTTAACACCCACACCATGTAACAAAGACATCAGCAGTTGAAGTTGTTCTTCCTCACAGCCACCACGTATTGGCCTCCTTCATTGCAACACCCATTGACCATTATTCCACCTCTCAACTACCCAACAATCTGGATTAACATCAAGACGATACAATCTATTAAAAAGATTTTTAAGTGGTTGTTGACCCACCGAAATTTCATTCCAAAATCCAACAGAATTCACGCTTCCCAATCTTTTTTCAAGTGTCTGCAACGGTACAAGATTATCAACATCCATTTTTATAATTGCATCAACAATCTTCGACCATACACCCACATAACCACTCTTATTTTCATCTTTGTTAAAACCCCCTGGAATTCCATGTATGGATTTAAGAAGACGAACCCAAACACAATTGTCATTAGCCATAAATCTTCAACGCCATTTTTTGCAGTAGAGCCTTGTTAAAAGTAGACAAGTTACCAACATCAAGTCCACCCTTTTCAAGACTTAGCAAAATTTGATCCCATTTTACCCATGACATTTTTCATTCTCCACTTTTACCTCCCAAAAAAAAAATTACTTCCAAGTGATTCCAAGGTTTTAAGGATCCCTTCTGGAACTTTGAAGATCGACATGTAATATATAGAGATACTGTCAAGCACTGCTTTAATAAGGGTTAGGCGACCAGCCACTGATAAAAAATTTGCTTTCCACTTAGGAAGCGTTGTTTTGAATTTATTTACCACAACCTCCCAATTTCTTTTCTTACTTATGTTCGCTACAATAGGTAAGCCTAAATATGTAAAGGGAAAAGATCCAATATTACAACCAGATTGAGCGGCAATCTGATTGATTTCATCCCTATCAACACCTACACCATAAATAGTAGATTATTGCATATTTAACTTCAGACGTGAAGTAATATAAAAATCATGCAACACTTGTGATATATTTTGTATGTCCATTGGATTCCACTCTGATATAAACAGCATGTCATCTACATAGAGTAGATGAGAAAGCCGAATTCCTTGAGAACCCACAGTTACTCCACATATTAGGTTGTTTTCCACCGCCTCTTGTACCATTCCATGAAGTCCTTCCATCGCGAGGATAAATAGAAAATGAGATAGTGGGTCTCCTTGGCGTAGCCCTCTAAAAAAAGAAAATTCAGCTGTCGGACTTCCATTTATCAACCTGAAGCTCTAGTTGTAGATAAACATGCATGAATCCAGCTTCTCCAATTAACGCCAAAACCGAACTTTTGCATTACAAAATCAAGATATTCCCAGCTTAATGAGTCATACGCCTTTTCAAAGTCGATTTTAAAATCATTAACTTTTTTCTCTTCTTGTTATACCAATCAACAATCTCACTCAACATTAGAGGGCCGTCAAGTATTTGCCTACCTTTGACAAATGGAGTCTGCTCTTCTGACACTAACTTTCCCATAACTTTTGCAAGATGTAATGCCAAAATCTTTCCAATAACCTTATATTGCACCCCTATTAGAGATATAGGCCTAAAATCTTTAACCACAGTCGGATTTTGGACCTTAGGAATTAGTGTGATAAACGATGCATTACATCCCTTTGGAATAATCCTCGTCTGAAAGAATTCTTGTGCATAAGCAACTATATCTGGTCCAAAAATTGACCAATATTTCTTAATAAAATAGAACGTGAATCCATCGGGGCATGGAGCTTTATCTCCACCACACAATCACACTGCATTTCTTTTATCTCCTCATGAGAAACCATAGATTGAAGCATTTCTTGATCCTCCTAAGATAATGTAGCAAACCGGGAATTGGTTGTTGTTGGTAAAGACACAGATATTGGCCCAAACTTTTCTTTATAATAGTTAAAAATGTCTCTTTAACTTCAGTAGGATCCGTACGCCAAACGCCATATACCATAACACCTTGAATATTTTGTTTCTTCCGAGTTTGTTTAAGTATCCCATGAAAAAACTTTGAGTTTCATCCTAATCTGTATCCCAATTTAATTTCGATTTTTGTGCAATATGTAGAGCTTGACGATGTTCAGTCTCATCAAGATTTTTTAGTAAATGTAGTCACTCCTGTAGTTCATCACTTGATGCCACCCCACCATCCATTTTCTCATCAATGTCATCAATAGCTTTGACCAAAACATGTTTAGAGTTGTTATCAATTTTTTTCATGCCTTTGTTCCACCCTTTCAAGACCACCTTTAATTGTTTAAGCTTTTCTTTAAATTTGATGGAATATGAACCACCATGTAACACCCTATTCCGAATCGTTTCTTATTTCTGTAAAGTGTCGGTCGGGTTTTATGGAAATTGGATTCTTGTTCGGGAAATTTTATGGCAGGTATGAGTTGATGAAAGTGTAGAGCTTCTCGTTACCTTTTCATAGATATAAGGATCGTCAGAATCAGGTTTATAACAAAGAATTTATGGCCTTCAGAGTGTTTTCGAGTTTAAGAGGAAACCCTAGTACGCGGGGCACACCTAGGGAGTACGCGGGGCGTACTAGTGCGAAGGGTAGTACGCGAGGCGTAATGTGGTGTATGCTTAGCGTACTGCGAATGAAGGATCGTGATATTGGGTCTTGAGCACTATAACACTTCCTAAGCGCACATGCAACCCTAAATGCTTTGGATCTATGTTTTCACTAATTATACATGCATTTTATTTTTCCAAAGTATTCACCCTAGCTAGCATACAGTTGAAGCTATATATAATCAAAACATAGTTAGGATACATACCTCTTGAGTAGGGTAGAGCTCTTGGCATTTGAAAGCTTGAGCACCTCAAGTGTGATGCCTCTAATGGTTCACAAACACCAATATGCAAGAGGAGGTTCTAAGAGAATAAGTTAATTGTCTCTATGGTTGGTGTAACCGATTTTGGGGCATGGAGGGGGCTATTTATAGTTGTGGCAAGTGCTAGGGTTACACTTTGTAAACCCTAATGATCCATGACTTTCCACATTCCTATGGTCCATGGGTTCGACCTCCATGGACTATCCATGGGTTATATTATTGGTGTAGCCCACTTACATAATCATGGATCACTTAGCCCATACTATAAGTATCATTGATTTGCATAATCAATCCCTTCATATTTAATTAGTTTCTTTTGACCAAAAAATTAATTCCAAATTAATTATTGGATAATACTAATTAAATAACCATATTAATATATTATACTTATAATATATTAATAAATCGTAAATAACCTTATTCTCATAAAACCATCCTATCAAATTGCATTGGTGAAGGCAACCCAAAAGGACCATGATACTATCGGGTCAAGTACATATCAGTTATAGTTATGGGCTTAGACACCAAATCCAACAGTCTCCCACTTGGATAAGTCTAATAACTATAGCTGCCTATGTGACTTCAGGATCCGACTTAGCAATCGTAAGCTTCCAAAAGCCGCTGTCAACTCTGACCCTGTCAGTGACGTATCCTTTAGATAAGGGATCATATAATCCTCTGTTCTCAAGATATCAGCCGGAAAAATACATGGAACAATGTCATACTTATTGTCCGGCAGTTTGTTTCCCGATTTCCGATTCGTCTGACATAGAACATAACTGAACACATCAATTTAGTTC